ACGTACGTCTCTCTCTCTCTCTCTCTCTTCTCTCTCTCTCTCTCTCTCTCTCTCTCTCTCTCTCCCCCGTCTCTCTCATGATACTCGCCGGCGGTACGTCGACGTCGATCTCGAACCGGAGCTCGCGAGCGACTTGCGCCTATATCCATGGCGAATTTATTTAACTTTGCGAACGTATTCCGCGAAGGACGAGCTCCCGGTAATTGCCCCCGCGCGCGTATCGGGAACTCGCGCGGGCGCGGACAATACTTTACCCGTCCACTGCCGGGTGTGTTTGGAACCGGTTGCCTCCAGAAGGCAGAGCTCCGGACACTGACGGATATGACATTTCTGAAGTTCGCGGCGATCTACGTTTCTCTCGTCCCTTTATTTCCATTTTATCTTTCCTTCTCTTGCTTTCTTTTTCCCGTGGTCGCTACCCTTGCCTTCCCCCTCCCTCCCCCTACACGCTCCTCGTTTCTTCCTCGGATCCGCAGTCGTCAGTCTCTTTCTCTTTCTCGCTCCTCCTTTTATATCTTTCTTTTCCTTCTTTCTTCTCTCGACCTCGCGTTTCCCTCGTTCGTTTTGTTTCACCCCCTCGTTGCCACCCCAACGGCGTACGTCGACTCGCCTCAACAACGTCTCGAAGAGGAGGAGGAAGAGAAAGAGGAGATGGAGGAGAGGAAATCTCTGTCTTTCTCTGTCTCTTGACGAATCGATACTTTTATTTGCAAGTCTTCACGTCTCCTTTGAGCAAACGAATGAGCAAGACGATGGAGGAACGCGTCATTCTCGAAATTGAAAACTGGATTATCGATTTCGACGTTCGGTCTGACGGTTGATTTAAAACGATCAAACTCATATTCGTAGTTACTCGCACACATATCACCTACGGCCCATATCACATATAATATATATCATGTTTTCAATAGCTTTACAAATTTTTTAATAAATATACATTTCTCAGTACCACAATAAATATATGAATAAATATATAAATTTTTATTGAAATTGCAGTCATTTAATGAAACTCATTTGCAACAATATGTTGAGAAACATCGGACAAACATTTCTAGTGGAAATACAGAAAACATGACGGCAAAATTATTTAAGAGACATCTTAAAATCCTAAAATCTAAAGACGAGTAAAATATTCATATCTTTGAGATTTTCCAGATGCGAGAGTTGTCATTTTTTAATAGAACCTTAAAGATATTTAAAAGAAAGAAACAGATATTTTTGTTTTTTAAACATGCACATTGTCTGGATAACATTTCTGAGGAAAATAAAAAAGCGACGGTACGATGAGAAGAAGCGACAGAAATGCTGTTGCGTATCGCGATAATCCTTAATGCGCTAATCCTGTAAGAAAATGAAAACGAGACGAAAAAGGAAGTCGCTCGGAGAACGTAGCTACCGATATCGATACCAACACGATTGCGCGAGATCACGGGATCACGTCTGCTGGTCAGATCATTACACATTATTAATTAGCACGATGTACTGATTAATGATCTGACTCTCGATAATCCTAATAATACTGTATGTAATGCTTGCACTTCTCTCGAGAGAATGAAGCCACCCGAAGACGAAAGAATTCCAGCCGATATTTCAATCAAACGCGATAACTCCTCTTGATGTTTTAATGTTTAGACTTTGCATAAAGACTTTGCATAAATATTAAATTCCAGCGTTTAATTAATTTCACGCTATTGCATCGTGATAATCCGTGATGACCAGTGTCTCCTGAATTTTTGTATATCAATAATCGGATACATAAAGTTCTGGAATGAGGAAAAGAAATGTCGGTCAAATGCCTTGACATTAATGTAATCGTTTTCTCGAGATATCCGCAAAA